ATCAAATAATAACTATAATTAATAAATATAAATCAAAATAAATTATATATTATAGATATTTGCTACAACATAATCGAAAAATTGTTATTTTTTACTTACTTGTAAAAAAGAAATGGGAACATATATAATAGAAAAAACGTACTTTTATCGCTTTACAACCAGTTATTGCATCAAAATTGTAAAATTTCAAATCTTAAAAAATTAATGTTAGAAAATTTTAATAATTCAAAATATTTGAATTCATTTTCTAAAAAATTTCGTCTTTAGTTGCATTGTGTTGTTGTTGCAAATGAACAATTTACAATTTAAGAACTATTTTAAATAATAATCTTATCGTATATTATACACATAAATTGTAGAACAAAAAAATGTTAATTTGATCCCTACATTTCTCTCTCTCTCTCTTGCAATGCAAAATATAAATAAAGAATCTTTTAAGAATATTTATTAATCGAATGTACTATGATTGCTTTAGAGCGAACGCATACTCGACAGAAGAGGTTTTAATATTTATCTGAAGAAAGAACTTTATCAAATTACCGATAGCATCAAAGCACGCGGTGTGATTTACAGTTTGCTACATCTATCAGAAGAGCAGAAATGCAAAGGTGTCGTAACAATCTCATCAGGCAGCTTTGCATTTATTATCTGTCATTGTGCACATCATAATGAAATACCGGTGACGGTAGTGATGCCATCAACAACGGCAAAAGAAAAAATCGATATATGTCGAGCGTATCTATTAGCACGAGTACTTGTTAGGGGTAATAACTTACTAGAAGCTCATCGTGCCGCTTTAGATATCGCCATAAGGGAAGACTTATTTTATCTTGACGGGTATTCTCTTTTAGCAAAATCTTATAAAAAATTCGATTGGACGCATTCTTTGCGTACTAATGCGTGTTAGAATCATCGTCTGTACAAATGTCTGTTGACACAAAGATATATTTAATATAAGTATAAAAACAGGTTAAAATATTTTTATAAAATCGGCGAATCCTTCCCGATAAGAAATTTTTCATGAATATGTATAAATATATGTATAAACATGCATAAACATGTATAAATATTCATGAATGTGTAATTATATAGGAATTATGTCCATACATGTTTATACATCTTTCTTTTGTAAAATTAATTTTTAGTATAATAGAAATGATAATAGTAATGTGGAAACATAAAAAATAATTAAAGGGATAATTTTCACATTGTTATAGAAAACAAGTTTGGAAAAATGTAAAAAAAATTGCTCATAAACATAATTCATATACATAATTTTATATATAATTATGCGTAAGTAATTTTTTCACATTTCTTCAAACTTAATTTTTTTAAATTAAATTAAAAAGTACATTAAAAAATAATTTTACAAAAGGAAAAAGAATATATGAACATGTATGGATATATTCCGTATATAATTATATATGTTTATACATATTTACACATATTCATGAATAAAAAATTTTTTACTGGATTGTTATTTTATTAAATAAAAATTTAAAAAAAAATTTTTTTAAATTAAATAAATATTTTATTAAATAAAAATATATGTTCTTTATTACTTAAAATATTTGTATGTTAATTTTTATACTCAGATTAAGTCAGTGTACAACAGCTTTAATACGCACTACTAGTGCATCTAATCGCATTCGTTATTTATATTAAGTATAAATATCTTTTTGTTAAAAAATCATATTTTCATTAATCTTATATATCTATTTTGTGTATGCTTTTAATTGTATTTCGCGAAAATTAGTTAATTTGAAGGACATTAATTAATAATTTTCTTATCATGTTTCATTATATTGCCGCAAAGAATATACTCCTTTCATTAATAATAATCTTGAGTGAATTATTTAATATTTCTTCGATAGGAATGATCATCCAAACATGCTTATTGGTCAAGCAACCTTGGGCATAGAAATCATGGAACAACAAATTGATGTGGTACTTTTGCCAACGGCAATTGAAGGTTGCGGATTAACAACAGCTATTGCAATAGCTATTAAAGGGTGCAATTCAAAAATAACAGTTATTGTAAGTTAATAGTTCTTCTATATATATATAATTTATCCATTACTGTTTCACTAATTAGTATATATTAAGAAAAAGATTGTATGCACTTAAATAAATTATTTGAATTATAATTTTAATTCTTAGGAAGTTCGTGGTACAAATACTGATTTATTCCAAGAGGTGAAAAAACAAACGGATTCACTTAAAGAATTGAATATTCCTACGAAAGAGTATATAGCATGTCCTTTAAGAAATATGCCGCATTGCGTGATCGACAGGTTTATTTCGGTAACTCCAGAATTGATTCATTCTGCATCCATACAACTGCACAAATCTGAATGTTACTATGATTGTTATGGAGCAATTGCTTTAGCTGCAATTTTATCTGGTCAGCTTGATGATCTACAGGGAAAAAGGTGACTTCTTTTATAAATTCGATTTTTTATAAATTCAATTTTTTCGAATTTATTAATTTATTAATTCCGTAGCAACGCGTTTTATAATCATAATGTATGCAATTTAAGTTTCAATTTAATAATATTTTATAAAATGACATTATGATTTTTTTGGTACGCGCTAGGATAGTAATACCTTTATACGGTAGAATGGATTTGAGTGAAGAAGATTTTACAATAGATAGATGTATCTTTAGACAACGTCATCTCGAGCTCATTTTACGCGATCTATAACTCTCTGAATTTAATTTTGAAGAAATCTGACAGAAGAAAGCTGAATTATAAAGAAAATTGTGTATCTATCATAAACAGATAAAATCAGAAATATAGAACAAGTCACACACATCATAAAGCTCGAAAAAAATTGAATCAAGGTTACGAAAAAGACGATGTTTCTAAATTGGAGATTGAATAACGAAATAATTTTATCAACAATATCCCATATCGATATATCAGATATAATATTGAAAAAAATTCAATATAATCAGATATAATATTGAAAATTTTCAATTATATCACAATAATAATGGATGTCGTATCAAAAAAACAAAAATTTTAAAATCTGCATATATTTATACATTTTTTTAAATATGTATAAACATAATTTTTTAGTATTACACAATTATTTATCAGTCTTAATGTCTAGCAAAATTGTAATCAACTAAAGGTATACTTAGCAAACAGAAGTTGAGAAGTCATCATAATGGATATGACGTACTTGTCAACTTGATCATATCAACTGGTTTTTAAATACTTGACTGTATCATTTAATTTCGTATAAATGTTAGTGTTACTTTAATCGTTTTAAAATTAGATTTGAAATATAATTCTCGAGAAAAAAATGTAAGGTATACCTCTGTGGCTGAACTTTGGAACTTAAAGTGAGATATGTATATATATATATCTGAGAGTTATTAAAAACAAGAAAGAAAATTCTAGTGCTGACTAATGGAACAGAAAGCAGATCAATAATTACATATAATTATGTAATATATAATTATATACAATTATAAAAAATTGACACATTTTATAGAGATACACCGGAGATCCGGTGTAAAAGTATCTGGTATCTAGTATTATCCAGCACTTTTTTACTATCTGACCGGATATTCAGATACCATGTGTATTCGGAAATATATTCGGTTGAAATTTTATATCATTAAATTGTTGATTGTGTAATTATATAAATAAAATTATACATAAACTATATCATATTATACAAAATATGTTATATATATAAAACATTCTAACAATAAAGTATGTCCATATATATAACATTTTTGTCCAAAATTAAACAACTGATATATATATATATGTTTCTCCAATTTGAACAAATAGTATAACTATGTACGAATAAAATAAAATGTATAATTAATAGGAAATATTGTATTCTCTTTGCATGTGATACATAATAAAGAAATGAAAGATTAATACATGTAAGAAAATAATTTTTATTAATTTCCTTTAGCGTTCCTTTATCTCTTGAACAAAAATACTAGCAATAAAAGTGTATGTATGTAGGTTATACATACATGTGTTCTAAAGAAATGAAATTAAAAAATAAAATATGTTTAAAATAAAAATATGTTTTGATTATATAAATCAGGCAATTTTTACTTTTGCATCATTATTGGCAATCAGGGATTGACACAAAAAAATAATATGATTTATTATGACACATTTTTTCATTAATTAGAGAAAAAAAAACGATGTGTATAATAAAGATATTTATAATATTTTATATCTGCAAAAATATTTTTGTCTTCATTCCTACGTCAAAGAATAATAAAAGTTATTTTTACTTAAAGAGAGAGGGAGAGATAAGTAAAATCATCTCTCAATAATTAAACAGATATTGTAAAATTTCATTAACATGTAATAAATTAAAATATGAAAAAATGTCAAAGTTTAAAGATTTTAAAAATGAAGATGATATAGATATAGAATGTAAGAGAAAAAGGAATATAAATATTTATTATTTATCGAATGTCATTGGTTGGTTGCAAAGTTTATAAAGACAAAATACATATATATCTATTCTCTTTTTCTCTCTTTTTTTCCTTTCATTTCTTCTCTTATTGCAGAAAAAGAAAACAAAAGCTTTAGAAAAGAACGAATGATACATGTATTTATTATTGACGACAATTCTTTGCGAGAAGCGACTTGTATCCAAAGACGATAAAATTGAGTTTGATATTATCTTTTAATTAGCGTGATTTGTCGGTAATTGCAAGTGATTCTCGTGCAATTTTTTAATTTTAAACATGTCGCCAAAGAAAAAAAGGCAGAAACAGAAGGAAACAGCAATGCAATCGATCGAGATAGCAATGCAATCGATGGAGACAGCAATGCAATCGATGGAGACAGCAATGCAATCGACGGAGACAGAAATGCAATCGACGGAAACAGCAATGCAATCGATGGAGACTATGCTAACGATTTCATGGAGGTTTTCTTATACCGTGGCGCGCACCTTGAAACGGCAAGACTGTAATTTCACATGGGTATAATTTTAGATTTTGACAGTCACTTAATTTTAAAGCTAAATATTCATCAATTACATATTGCAAATTGTACATAATTATATTTTTACGCGTACTATCTAAAACTTTTTTTTAGAATGAATCTCACTTTGACGAGTTAAATCTCATTTTCATAGATTGAAAATTGAGTCACTCATTTTCAATAATGGATCAATTTTTATTCTTTAGAGTGTTATTCTTTAGAGAAATTCTATTCCAAAAATTTAGAGAATATGATACAATTTCTATATTTTGAAGTTAATTGTATTAAAGAATATATAACTCTTTTTCCGATATTAATACATTATTCAATATTAATACACTAATGGTTTATTATTACATTATCCGAAGTAATAATCGCAATACGTTATTATATTGTACACTTGGAGAAATGTGAAAAAGATACATAAGTTAGTCAGTTTAATATTTTTTTGTAGAATGTAATTGAAAAGGGTTATAACAAATCAGCGCCTGGGCAAGAATATGAAATTTCATATGCCATAATCAAACAGGCGAGGACTTTTTTAAAAAGACGCATTTTGAAAACACCTTGCTTCCAGGTAATAAGTAACATTATATATAAAGTTTTTTAATTCTTAACAAAATTTTAATAAAATTAGTACGAATCAATAATCTGAAATATTTATAAATATTTCATTATGGATGCTTTGAAAGTACAATCACACAACATTGTTCACAAAATGTGTACACAAAATTGTACGATCGTATATACTGTATTTTACAAAATACAGTACGTAAATATCAATTATATACAAGTGTATATAAAAATAAGATCTATTAATTAGTGTAAAAAGTATATTTTCTTATTTTATATTAAAAAGACTTAAAATATAATTATAACTATAAATCAAAATAAATTATATATT